TTCACTCACATTCTAGTAGGTAGTGCACCGCAACTTCCATGGATGATCTTTGGTTCAATCTTGGTGATTTGGGCTACTCACATTCATGCTTTTCATTCACACACTAGTAGGTAGTGCACCGCAACTTCCATGGATGATCTTTGGTTCAATCTTGGTGACTTGGGCTACTCACACTCATGCTTTTCACTAACACACTAGTAGGTAGTGCACCGCAACTCTCATGGATGATCTTTGATGCAATCTTGGTGATTTGGGCTACTCACACTCATGCTTTTCACTCACAGACTAGTAGGTAGTGCACTGCTACTTTCATGGATGATCTTTGATGCAATCTTGGTGATTTGGGCTACTCACACTTATGTTGTTCACTCATACACTAGTAGGTAGTGCACCGCTACTTTCGTGGATGATCTTTGATGCATTCTTGGTGATGTGGGCTACTCACACTCATGCTGTTCACTCATACACTAGTAGGTAGTGCACCGCTAGTTTCATGGATGATCTTTGATGCGTTCTTGGTGATGTGGGCTACTCACACTCGTGTTGTTCACTCATACACTAGTAGGTAGTGCACCGCAACTCTCATGGATGATCTTCGATGCAAACTTGGTGATTTGGGCTACTCACACTCATGCTTTTCACTCACACACTAGTAGGTAGTGCACCGCAACTTCCATGGATGATCTTTGATGCATTCTTGGTGATTTGGGCTACTCACACTCATGTTTTTCACTCACACACTAGTAGGTAGTGCACCGCAACTTCCATGGATGATCTTTGATGCATTCTTGGTGATTTGGGCTACTCACACTCATGTTGTTCACTCACACACTAGTAGGTAGTGCACCGCTAGTTTCATGTATGATCTTTGGTTCAATCTTGGTGATTTGGGCTACTCACACTCATGCTATTCACTCATACACTAGTAGGTAGTGCACCGCTACTTTCATGGATGATCTTTGGTGCAATCCTGGTGATTTGGGCTACTCACATTCATGCTGTTCACTCACACACTAGTAGGTAGTGCACCGTTACTTTTATGTATGATCTTTGGTTCAATCTTGGTGATTTGGGCTACTCACACTCATGCTGTTCACTCGTACACTAGTAGGTAGTGCACCGCTACTTTCATGGATGATCTTTGCTGCAATCTTGGTAATTTGGGCTATTCGCACTCATGCTTTTCACTCGTACACTAGTAAGTAGTGCACCGCTTCTTTCATGGATGACTTTTGGTTCAACCTTGGTGATCTTGCCTACTTAGATTCTTGCTTTCACTCACATGATAGAAGGTGATGGTCGGGATCTTGCGTAGTTGTTCCCCTCTCTATGTGCATGAGCCTTCCATTAGTACTAGCTTCTCATTGTCATGTCCATGCTTGGATTGATGTTCCGGATCTTACTTAGTTGATCTCTTCTCTATGTGCATGTGCTTTCCATCAGTCTAGCTTCT